GGTTTGTAGAGGTCGTTAGAAAAGTAGGAAAGCTAGGGTCGGAATTCAGACCCCAGAACCCTTCTTTTGGTACTACTCATGCAACTAAATAAAAAAAAAACTATAAATATAGAGTATTACAGGGATTTTATTTAATTATGTGCTTCAACCTATTATTAACAATAAGATAACATAATTAAAAAATCATTTAATATAAAACATATAAAGCACTAAAATTTTAATATATAGACAATAACTTTTTCTACTTCAAGATTTAAAATATGATAAAGCACTGTATTAATTGCTGCATATTATCAAATATAAAACTAGCCATATGTATAGAATTGGAAAAATCACATAGAAACTTTATATTGGCAGATGCATTATTACAGATTATTGATATTATTTTTGAAAGTATCCTATTTTTCTGAAGGAAGTCTTCCATAGCACTTGCAATTTCAATGCCTATATATGTATCCTTTATAAAAATAAAATCAAGAAGAATATATTATATTTGCCATGATTGATTTAGATAATGAATCATAACAGCCATAAATAACTTTTTATTAGTTGAAGTCATCCAAATATCAGTTGTTACAGCTATATGTCCAGGACCTCCTGTAATTTTTTTTGAGACCGTTTGTAAAGAAATAGATTATCGAGAACGTGACTTACACAATGATTATGATTTGTGTAATGATCATGATCATGACAAAGAGAATCGTAGTGATGAAACGTGATCATTGTCTGCAGCACAAGTATAGGGTAAGTATGAAGTAATAATTAGGATCGCAAGGTACAAATGATCATAGAAATATATTAGAGCAGCATATAAAGAATGCAGTAATTATTAAATCATATGAATATATCAGAACAGCATATAAAGAATGTAGTAATAATTAGGTAGGATAGAGGTCATATAAATATAGCAAATAAAAAGAGGAATTTTCTTGGCCTTTTATTTAAAAAAATAAAAAAGAAATATTCTTGAGATAAAACATCATGTTACACTTGGTAGCAGTAGATAAATAAATAAAAAAAAAACTTAGATAACATTAGAATAATATCAGAACAAGAAGCCCCACCCAACTTTTTCACACTATTCAAAAAATTTATTTAGAACCAAAATAAGATAAATAAATATATGGCATCCACAGCACGACAACAGCAAAGCAACGCAAGATACATTAGCAGGACTAACCTTAGAGAAATAATGAACGAACTGTCGTCCAAAGAGTCTTACTATACAACTCCTGGTCTTTCAAGAAAAGAATGATGAAAATGTATCAACATAGCTTTTACAAGTTGATCTCCTATTTAAGGCAAGGAAAGTTAAAGACAAAGAAAGACTACAGTATATTATAATAGGGTTAAGAGATGCCGTGTTACAATAGTATTTAAACCAAATTCAAGCCAACTCTGAAGAAAGCCTGTTTGTAAGTTGGAAGATATTTGCTGAAGAAATCAAAGCAGCTTTTCAACCCCCACATTACCAACAACTCTTGCAGCGACAATTAAAAGACCTAAAGCAAATGTTAACAGTCTAAGAATATGCATCACACTTCAGAAATCTGCTAGGTCAGATAGAAGAAATGTATAAAGCAGATAAAATGATGTATTTCACAGAAGGACTAAAAGGAGCCACAAAAGCTGAAGTCAACTATCAGGCTCCCGAAACATTAGATAATACCATGAAACTTGCTGCCAACTATGATACAGCAATATACAGGTTGCTAAGGTTGCAAGAAGCAAGGTTGAAAGCAATAGTTGGACTTGCCAACAAGGGAATGAAAAGAAGATACAGTATTTTGAAACTTATGAAAAACAAGAGCCCACACCAATAGAATTAGATAGAACAGAACTTAAGAATAATAGACGAAAAGGTTTCCTAAGAACAAATAAAGACAAAACATTAACAAGAGAACAAAAGCAAACCTACAAAAGAAATGGTCAATGCTTTGTGTGTAGAAAAAAAGGATATTGGGCAAGAGATTGTCGTAGTAAAGGTAAAAAGAGGGATGAGGTAAATTATACGGAAGAAGTAAAAAAAAAGATAGTAACAATAATAACGATATGAATGAAATTGTTAGGGTAGATATAAGCAGAAATAATGAATCTCAGCAAGAAAATCTACTTAAATTAAAAGGAAAGGTCCATGGACAAGAAGCATTAATTCTTATCAACTCTGGAGCCTCGAAGGATTTTGTTAGTTCAAGATTTGTTGAAAAGGCAGGCCTATGTAAAATAAAAGAAAAAGAACCAAACATTATAGAATTAGCAAATGGAATACATTGTGAGTTTCAAAGAAATATAGCAGTTATATCTCTAGAGATACAAGAGTACAAAAATGTAAGACAAAATTTTGTCACTCCAAAAGTATGATTTAATTCTTGGAAAACCCTGGTTATATAATTTAAACCCAAGAATTAATTAGAAAAATAATTGAGTTCAAGTTAAAAAAGAATAACATATTTATAATTTAAAAGCAGACATAATAAATGATACAAAAGTATATCAGTCCATCCTGGTGTCCCGACAACAATTTTCACAAGGAGTCAAAAGTACCTATGAGCTCTTTGCTATATTTGCAGTTAATAACTTGGATAAAGACAATCAGTGTGTTCAAGATATACCTGAATTTTTAGACAAAATAATAAAGGAATATCAGGATACATTTCTCAAAGAATTGCCCGATGAATTATCCCCAAAAAGAAATATGGATCACAAAATTCAGTTAGAAGAAGGTTCACAACCACCTTTTGGTCCCACCTATAATATGTTTGTTTTAGAAATGAAGAAGTTAAAATCACAAATTGAATAATTTTTAGAAAAAGTAATTATTAGACTGAGTGTATCGCCATATAGTGCCTCTGTATTGTTTGTATCAAAAAAGGACAAAACATTAAGAATGTATGTTAACTACAGGGCCTTAAACAAAATAACAGTTAAAAATCGATATCCATTATTACAGATAAATAAATTGTTAGATCAATTACATGGGGCCAAATATTTCTCTAAAATTGATCTTCTCTCCGGTTATCATCAAATAAGAATAAAGGAAGGTGATGTGCCAAAGAATGCTTTCCGAACAAGATATAGATGGCCACTTTGAGTTTCTGGTCATGCCCTTTGTGCTGACCAATGCACCAGCTACCTTTATGAGATTAATGAATGATATTTTCAGAGAATACCTGGATAAGAGTGTTATCATCTATTTGAACGATATACTCATTTATAGCAAAACCAAAGAAGAACATTGTCAACATTTGCACCAAATACTCGATACACTTCGAAACCATAATTTGTATGGTAAAATGGCCAAATGTGAGTGGGAAAACAAGAAGTAGAATATTTAGGATATGTGATTTCAAGTAAAAGAATAAAAGTGAATCCAAAGAAAATTAAGGCCATACAAGAGTGGCTTACACTTACAAGTATGCATGAAGTTAGGTCATTCCTTGGTCTTGCTAGTTATTATCAGAAATTTTTCCAAAATAGCATCGCCTTTAACTAAACTATTACATAAAGAACAAATGTTTAAGTGGAGTAAACAACAAGTTATTGCATTTGAAAAACTTAAGGAATTATTAATTTCACTTTCAGTTTTGTTAATTCTAGATCCTGACAAATCCTTCTTAGTAACAACAGATGTATTGGATATAGCAATTGGAGCAGTATTATCACAAGACCAAGGGAAGGTAAACAACTGATAGCATTTAAATCTCAAAAACTAATACCAGCAGAGCTAAATTATCCAATACATGAAAAAAAGTTGTTAGCCATTATACATGCTCTTAAAATATGGCGTGAATACCTAGAAGGCCAATAATTCACTGTAATAACGGATCATGCATCTCTTGAATACTTACAAAGTCAGGCAAAGTTATCAAGAAGACAAGCAAGATGGTTGAAAACATTACAAGCCTACAATTTTATTATTAAGTAACATCCAGATAGAGTTAATGTAGTTGCAGATGCACTTTCTAGGATACCTAAAACAAACATAATTAGTATAATTGATGTGGATCCAGAATACATAAAAAAATAAAGGAAAAATACAAGAAAGATATGCATTTTAAGAAAGTTTTAATAGCATTAAAAGATCCTAAATGTGATGATGCTAAGTGGCTAGAGAGACAGTTACTCAGATATGAATTGGAAAATGGATTTTTGTTTTTTGTTAAGGGCTCAGAAGTTCATCGACTGTGTATAGTGAAAAATTCAAAAATTAGAGTGTTATTAATGAAAGAACATCATGATAAGAATGGGCACTTTGGGTTTAAAAAGACTTACGAAAGTATTAGATGAAACTATCACTGGAAGGGTATGAGTAAAGATATAAAGAAGTATATGCTTAGCTGTGACAGTTGTCAAAAAAACAAAAGTTCTAATTTAGCCACACCAGGATTGTTGAATCCTCTTGAATTACCGACACAACCATGAGAGACAATATCAATGGATTTTATAAACCATCTCCTATGTACAAAGAATGGGAATAATTCAATTTTGGTTGTTGTTGATAAGTTAACTAAAAGAGCGAGATTTCTACCTACCAGAGCTACTGTAACTGCACTTGAAGTAGCTCAATTATTTTTCCAGGAAATAATTAAACACCACGGGTTGCCTTAAAATATCATTTCAGATTGTGACCCTAAATTTACAAGCATGTTTTGGAAAGAACTTTTCAAATTAATGAGAACAGAGTTAAAAATATTGACTGCAGCTCACCCTCAAATGGATTGACAAACTGAACGTACTAATCGTACATTAGAAGAAGTTTTGAGAGCTTATGTTAATTATAAGCAAGATAATTGGGAGCAACTTTTAACTATAGTCGAATTCACATATAACAATACTTATCAAGCATCTACAGGTTTCACTTCATTTCAATTAGATCTTGGATGACATCCTACAACTTCTAGTAGTATGATAATTAAAAGAATTGCACAAACAAATGTAAATACTGTTTATGAATTATACCAACATTGGTCCACAATATTAAAGATAGCTAAAGACGCATTAGTAGAAGCTCAAGAAAGACAAAAGACTTATGCAGATAAGAAAAGATGATCCTTGGAACTGTCAAAAGGTGAAATGGTATTAGTAAAGACAACATATTTAACTTCACTTGAAGATTTGAAGTGATCAAAGAAACTAGCACCAAAATTTGCAAGGCCTTTAAAATCATAAAAGTAATCACTCCTATTGCTTATCAATTACAACTACTGGAAAATCTAAGAGTATACCCAGTATTCCATGTTTTCTACTTGAAACCATACTGGTATAGTGAGTTTGAATGTAGAGAAATTTCACCACTATCACTGATGTTAATAGGTTCGAATGAAGAATACGAAGTTGAAATTATTCTAGATAAAAGAACTTACTATCAGCAAATTCAGTATCTGGTTAAATGGAAAGGTTATCCTTTACATGATGCTACGTGGGAACCTCTCAAGAATCTAGGAAATTGTAAAAGGTTGATTGATAACTTTGAAAAAGGAACGGGTTTTTCTTTAAGGGGAGAAGAGTGTAAAGAAATAGATTATTGGGAACATGACTTACATAATGATCATAATTCATGTAATGATCACAATCACGACGAAGAGAATTGTGACGATAAAACGTAATCATCGTCTTTAGCACAAGTATAGGGTAAGTATGAAGTAATAATTAGGATCACAAGGTACAAACGATCACAGAAATATATCAGAGCAGTGCATAAAGAATATAGTAATTATTAAGTCATATGAATGTATCAGAATAGTGCATAAAGAATGTAGTAATAATTAGGTAGGATAGAGGTCATATAAATATAGCAAATAAAAAGAGGAATTTTTTCGGCCTTTTATTTAAAAAAAAAAGAACCGTTCTTGAGATAAAACATTGTATTACACTATTCATGTTCTCCTTTGGAATTGTTCATAATATGATCTTTATAAGGTCAGCGGAAGGTACTAAAAAAAAACTCTTATTTATTTATTTTACAATAACATTAATCTATTAAATATATTATTAAATAATATTTTACCAATGGCTTTAGGTTCTAAGTAAATAAATATAGACTTAAGTTTGTCGTCTTCAATAATTTGAAATGACCAATTATGTTTTATGATCAATCTTTTTATCATGTCAGTAAGTTTTTGTTGGCTGCAGGGTTCATGTTGGTTGGCTTTTAATATTTTCAAAACAATAGTACCACTTTTTATATTTGATTCATTCAGTTCAGACACTTTATATCTTTTGAAATGTCTTAGAAGATTTTACATCATTCCATTGTTATAGGCTAGCAGCTTGTTGCAAATACCACATGTGGCACTTCTTTTTGCCTTTATAAAATACTTCCATGCTATGGATCTATAAAATAAAAAACTAATAAATAAAAAATATATATCTGATATATATATTTAAAAGTAAATTTTTGTATATATTACTCTTCATTTGCTTTATCGCAAGTTGAAAGTTCTACTTGGGATGACAATTCAGTTGGGTAAGATTTATCTTGATGTGGTTCATCTTAGCAAGAGTTGTCAGGGTGCAATTCATCTTGGTGTGAATCATCTTTATTTAATTCTTTGATATGATTCATCTTGGTATGAATTGCCTTGATACAATTCATCTTGATACAAGTAATGTTTATTCATACATAAATCATCTGAGTAAAATTTACCATGGTATGGTGAATCATGTTCTTCAAATTCATCTTGAGAATGTGAATTAGTTGACATTGATTAAGGAAGTTTAAAGTGTAAAATTTTTATGTTAAAGAAGAAAAAACCATATTATAATACTGTAAAAAAAAAAGGCAGCTGGGGTTTTTTTTTTTAAACACAAGTGTTTATTTAATTTTTAATTTTTGGGGTTTTTTTATTGTTATTAAATCACATTTATAGAAGGCCTTTATTAACCAGAATACAAGAATACAAAATGGCATCCTTTGTTCTTTCTGATCATTTTAGCTCAATTAAGCTTGGTTTAAAAAAAAAAATCCGGAATTAGCCAATCAGCATTCTAATAGACTGGACTGGGTATTACCCGAGCAGACCTTCATGTGGGTCTGAAACTGTATCGATCTTGATAAAATCATGAGTCCGAACTCGGTCCATCAACGGACCGGACCGGACCTGGATCTTTTGCGGAACACTATAATTAGTATAAACAATTACAAAAAAAAAGAATTTAAAAAAAAAGAAAATTAAAATTTAAATAAATTAAAAAAAAATGGCATATTAAAAATTTTAAAAATTTAAAAAAGAAATACCAAAATAAAAATAAATAAATAAATAAATAAATAAAATAAATTAACAAAGACATATTAAAATTTAAAAAATTAAAAAAAAAATTAAAAATTTAAATAAATTAAAAAAGAAGGCGTATTAAAAATTTCAAAAATTAAAAAGAAGAAATAAAGTGTCAAAAAAAAATAAGAAAAAAGAAAAGATTAAAAAATTTAAAAATTTCAAAAAAAAACAACGGATTAGAAAAATTAAAAAAGGGGCATTAGCACTTACGTTGTAAAAGGGTAAATCGTGACTTGGAATGAATTTTTTCGCACATAGTAGATCAGATGCATATTAGGTTTAAAAGCTATATACATTTTGTACATAGGGCGTGTGTACATTTTGTACATTGACATGTACATTTTGTACATAGGATGTGTACATTTTGAACATATGTACAATTTGTACATATGTACATTTTGTACATAGTGATTAACGCGAATATAGCATAGTGAACATAGCCACTATGTATCTATTAGAGCATAGAATCTATAATTAGAAAACAAGAAATTAATGTAAGATAGTAAAGTTTATCTGCTATGTACGCAGCAAAGGTCAAAAGCTATTTAAGACCTATCTTTTCGTTTCAATAAAAAGTCAGTTAGAGTTTGGAAAACTGAGTAAGAGTTGGAAGAACTCATTAGAGCTTGACTCATAGAGAGTCTAGTATTCTGACTTAAAGTTTCGGTCCAATTACCCCCCCCCCCCCCGATAAGTCAAAATCGCATAAAGTCAGTAGTCTATACCCGTGACATTAGGGTCTCGTGACGTAATCTAGAGCTCTATTCGACCCTAATAACTCGGAACAAGTTTTCCACGCCTCGATCGTGCCTTCCACCATTAGGGATGATAAGAGTTCAGTAGTTTAGAGTATTGTTTAGGTTAGTTTTGGTGGTAGTTGATATCCGTGAGACCTATATTTCGCGACTCCGGATCATTTCTCACTTTCACAACGTACGTACGTACGTAAGTCTGTCGGCAGATTTTGCTTAACAGTAAATCCGATTCATAAACTCTGGACCCAGGATATATAAGCGCTAAAAAGAAAAATTGAATAACGCACCGTGCGTGCATACATACATAAATGAAACAGGGGGAAACGTTGAAACGTCACAAAAGTGTTACACAATTGATAAAAATTTTTTTTATATTATTTTACAATACTTTTTTGGAAGGCTCGCTTGACTTATGTTTTA